GTGCCGCCGCTGGCACGGCAGCTGCTGCAGCAGCAGCAGCAGCAGCAGGAAGCCTGTGTCTGCTGCTGCGCTGCAGAGACAGTTGAAGCACATGCTGCTCTTCTGAGTGCCCTTTCGCTGCTGCTGCCTGCTAAGCGGCAGCAGCAAAGCGTCTCTCGCAGCAAAAGCAGCGGCAGCCTGGACCCCGAGCACAGTTGCTGCAGCAACAAGAGCAACAGCAGCAGCAGCGAGCAGCAGCACACTTCTCCAGCTTCAAAAGACTCATCAGAGGGCCCCCAAGCAACTCCTCAGGGGGCCCCCCAGGGGGGCCCCCCTGGGGCCCCCAATGATGACCCCCAGGGGGGCCCCCCTGGGGCCCCACATGAAGACCCCGCTGTGGGGCCCCCTGGGGGCCCCCCAGGGGGCTCCCAAGAGGCCCCACAGGGGGCCCCCCAGGGGGCCCCTCAGGGGGCCCCCCAGGGGGCCCCTCAGCAGCAGGAAATCCCTGAAAAGCTTCCCAAGCTGCTGGGGGTGTCGATTGGATGTTTACAAGTAAAGAATAAAAGTATCAGGCAGGCGCAACCCTAAACCCTAAACCCTAGATCCTAAACCCTAGGTGTTGGGAATCAGAGCTAAGGGTTTAGGGTTTAAGCCGTAGGGTGTAGCGTTTAGGGCTTAGGGTCGAGGGTCTACGGTTTTAGGGTTCAGGACTTAGGGTTTAGGGCTTAGGACTTGAGATTTAGGGTTTAGGGTTTAGGGTTTAGGGCCTAGGGTTTAGGGTTTAGGGTTAAGGGTTTAGTGTGCTTTGTATTTGGCTGCTTCCCAGAAACCTGCTTGCCCTGCCGAGGTGCTGGCAGCACGAAGCGCAGCAGCAGCAGCAGCAGCAGCAGAAGCAGCAGCAGCAGCAGCAGCATTCTGAGGCCCTATCTGAGGAAGCTAAGGAACTCTCAACGAACGCAGCAGATGAGGGGCCCTCAGCTCTGCTGCTGCGGGCACCCAGCAACAGTAGCTGTTGCAGCAGCAGCAGCTGCAGCAGCAGCAGCAGCAACTTACAGTGGCAGCGCACATACCACGAAGCAGCAGGGTCCTGCAAGTGCTGCTACGCTGTATT